CCGTGGAACACAAAATTATAACCTCTCCGTCTCCTTCTTTTTCCTCCTTGTTTCCATCCGAGGGCATCTCTGCTCCCGCTCCGTTCCATTCCGTCATGTCCCGTCCTGTCCCGTCCCGTTTCGTTCCGTCCCGTCCTGTCTGCATACCAAACGATAGATTGGTGTCGGCAGAATAAAGAGGCCTGGGGTGTCTGCCAAATCATCAACTTTGCTTTCTTGTCCTTTGTGTTGTGTTGCGTAATTGCTGCATTTTTGCCCTCTTTTTGACTAACGAAGGGCAATATGACTTTCACAGATTTTTGCCCTCTTTTTGCCCCTTTTTGACTAATTGCCCTAATATTATTCGAGCAATCTGATTTCATATTACCTGGTGTCATTGATTTTTGAAAAGGGTTTTTGAATTTTTATCCTTTAAGAAGATTAAAATTTAAAAAAAAAAAAATCTGGTGTTAAATTAATTATTGATTTTAGACCCTTAATGTGTACTTAATTCAAATTCATATTATATTTTTGTTTTTATATTTAATAGAATTTGTTTTTGTCAAAGTTTTTATATTTAATAGATAACTTATTTAATGTTATTACATTAAATTTTAAATTTATTATTATACAATTTTATTTAACTTTCTTCAATTAGTGTACCTAAACATCCATATCATAATATATTTTACTAAATTAGTGTACCAAAATGCCCGTACCTAAATATATTATAGTGAATTAGTGACAAATAAGAAAATATGTAAAAACATAAGTGTACCAAAACTCTGTACCTAATTATATGATACTAAACTAATGTACCGAAATGTTGGTACCTAAATATATTATACTAAACTAGTGTAACGAAATGTTCGTACCTAAACATATTATACTAACCCATTGTACCGAAATGTTCGTACCTAAATATATTTTTATGAACTAGTGGCAGATAAAAAAATATGCAAAAACATAAGTGTACTGAAAAATCTCTACGAAAATATTTTCTTATATAAGATGCCGACCATAATGAGCATTAAAATGTATAATATTTTCATAAAATTTAAATTCATAAAATTAGAAATAAAAAAAGAAATATTGAATACATATGCTGGCATTAAATAGAGTCTAGGGACTAAAATTAATTTTTAATCTTGTATAAGACATTTTTTTAACTTTCATCTTATTCAGATATTAAAATCTAGTTTGCTATTTTTGAAAAATCTTAATGGTCGTTACATTTTAGACTAGATAATATCAGTTTGACTAAATTTTTTTTTATTTGATGTTAAATTTCTTTTCACACGTTATTGTGTTACTTATTTGAAATAATGAGACAATGACGAATCAGATAACTGATTCTCATAGAAAGAATACAACGTTTTAAACTTTTCTAGCATGTGCATGTGCTAGTTGCAGCTACTTGTTTGAAATAATGAGACAATGACGAATCAGATAAGTGATTCTCATAGAAAGAATACAACTTTTTTAACTTTTCTAGCATGTGCATGTGCTAGTTGCAGCTTTGGGTTAATGGAATTGCAGCTTTTCTAACATGTGCTGTTGGTGGAATGTTGACAGAAGAGCCTAATTCTTTTGATTTTTTTTTTTTTGGGTAAAATTCCTTTAAAAATTTTTTCGTTTAAAACGTTTTTACTTAGATTTTATTTTAGAGGAATTTGGTCTTCTATTCTTTTATTTTTTATTTTTTATTTTTTTTAAGAGTAATGTTTAAATCATCTCTTGATTAAATGTAATTTCTTTTTTCATATCAATGTACTATCGAGGTTCTACAAAAAAAAATATCAAAAAATATCTAATCTATTCTATTTTATAGTGATTTGAAGAGAAATACTTTATCTCAAAACAATCCACCTGCTTACAGTACTTTCACTCCTCCATGAAAATCTTGCTCAATTTCCCGTTTTATAAATTATTACACAAATTAAATGATGGTAAAGTTGAAGCAGGACGCGTGTTGGGTAACTTTGGTAAAATCTGGTGTCGGCAGGATAAACAGCCCTGGGGTTTGCCAATTGCCATGCGTTTTCCTGGTCTGCCAAATTCTCACTTTTGTTTTCTTGCGCTTTGTATTGTGTGGCTCAGGACAAAAGCCGTTTTTATTACATTTTGAAAAGAAAAAATTATATCAATAATCTTTTAATTTTAACTTAATTTGAGTAATAGTTTATTAATTAAAAAGTTATAAATATTGATTCTTTAACTCATTAAAACGTGCAGCTATGATGATTTTCATTAACTCTGTCAGAATTTCGTCAAATGAGTTATGTTGAAAAGACTATCACTATAGTTGGGTTGAAGTTTAGGGACCATTGATCCAATTGATTAAAGTTAAATGATCATTTCTCCAATTGAATTACAATTGAGGGACCATTGCTATAATTTTTCTCATTTAGTTTTTCATTTTTGTCCCTCGATTCATCCTCATGTGTGCGACATGTAACTCATTTTGAAGGAAGTTCTAACGAAGTTGATGAAAATGACCATAACTGCACGTTTTAAAGAGTTAAGGAAACAATAGTCATGATTTTTATTTGAAATACCATTAATTCAATTGGATAAAAATTGAGGGACCATTGTTATAATTTCTCTTTTGAAAAATTTACAAGTATTTCTTGCTTGTAGAAAGCTGCACACTCCTAAGAGTTTCACTTTAATGTTATGTAGTATTAAATGTTATGATTATTGAATAACCTGAATTTACAAAATCACAATAAAAACAATAATTCTTTTTTATTTTGTCAAAATAAAAATAATAATTCAAATCAATACAAATTATCCAATTCTCATAACTTGTAAGAAGTTTTCTTATAATTAAAACAATAAAAGCACTCCTAGAAACCAATCCAAACCAGATAGAGAAAAAATAAAAGCAAAAGGCAAAAAATTATAGGAATTGGATCCCCTCTTGAGCAAATGGTGGGGATCCTCATGACTCACTAGCAGGGGTCGTTAGATTTCGATCCAAAAACTACAATTATCATAATTTTTAAAGGAATCATTTGTTTGTAACCGATGGATCGAAATTCAACGGTCCGTATTAGTTGGTCATGAGGACCCCCACTATTTGCTCTGGAGGGGATCCAATTAAAAAATTATGACCCCATGACAATGAAGATAGAGAAAAAAGTGGAAAGTACAGCTTTCTTTCTGGTCGCAATGAGGAGGACTTATCATAGCAAAAATGGGGACACGCTCCCCACCGTTAGATTGATTTTAATGAAATTGTGTGGTTGAGATTAAAACACAGGTCACACAATCTCAACCACACAATTTCATTAAAGTTAAATTCAATGGTGGGGAGCATGTCCTCATTTCCAAAATCACTTCATCAGATCTGCTTATCTGTCATCCGTATTTTGAATTTTTTTTATTTAAAAATAAACACAAATAATATCTGATAAAAATTGACCGTACGATATATTATGAACGAAAACAATGAATTAAACCTCAGATTGCTCACAAAAAAGATCTGAAAAGAATCTTCATCTGTCGAAAGAGGAAGACTTGTTAGAGTCTTTCAAGTCAACACCTAATTATCATAGCAACTTGAAGGTCTCTAATCTACAAAACCTCAAATTCCTTTTAAATTACCTGTTTCACTAAATCCTAAATTGTATAACTCCTAAAAATAAATCAACGGCGAATATGGTATCTTCTGTAAACCATTGGATAGAGCTCTCAGCATGCAATGATCATATTTAGGGAATGACCAAATACATGTTGGGACGTCATGGGTTAACAATATAATTTTGTGTTTGAGTTTCTCTCCATATGCATCGCGTTAACTTAATTTTTTCTACTTTCCTAGAATGTTCCAGTTCCTGCATTTTTCAGCTGACATCATGGGTTAACAATATAATTTTGTGTTTAAATTTCTCTCCACATACATCGCGTTAACTTAATTTTTCTACTTTCCTAGAATGTTCCGGTTCCTGCATTTTTCAACTTTCAGATAGTGGAAAGGTCAAGTTGCTGGGAGACTAATTAGTGAAAAGCAGATTTCTCATGGCAAAGACACAAGTCTAAAATTACTTATCACTGATTCAGTTCCATCGAGTTTAATTCGTCTCACTTAATCTTCAAAATTAACATAACAAGCTAGTACTTTCACTTTATGAAAATTTTGCTCTCGTTTCCTTAAACATCTAGATGTTCATTAATTATATGCCAATAAAACTTGCTCTTCATCTTCAAATTGATCATAATAAAATATGGCTCTGTGAGTAATCAAGTAGTTTAACTACAAGATGGTAAAGCATAATACATGGTAACTTCGGTAAATCTGGTGTCGACAGGAGCATTTTCTTCTTCTTTGTCTTGTGTGGCTCAAGTTGTTTCAGTGTCTTTTACCGCTCAGTTGTTTACGAGTCACCTTTCCACCCTAAGTTTCATGTTTGGTTCGCCTATCTCCAAAATCGACCGTATAAAGGATAGAGGAAAATTGTAGTAATGATTTTTCAACTAAAAATTCATGATCATTAGTCTCTTAATTCCTCAAAACATGTAGCTATGATCATTTTCGCCAACTTCGTCATAACTTTTGTCAAAACAAATCATGTTGAAAGAAACATTGCTACAATTGTGTTAAAATTGAGAGACTATTGGTCCAATTAGATTAAAGTTGAGAAACCATTTCTACAATTTTCTCATTTAATTTTCCATATTTACTCTTTGACTCGGCCTCACGTGCGTGGCACGTGACTTATTTTGATGAAAATTTTAGCGGTGTTGACTAAAATGACCATAGTTGCATATTTGAAATAATTAAGAGACTGATGGTTATGAATTTTAGTTAAGAGATTATTACTCTAATTAAGTTAAAGTTAAGGAACCCTTACTATAATTTTCTTCAAATAAAAAATAAAATATATCCGTGTAGGACAATGGAGATGAGAAAGCAATCAAAATGATAAAACAATATGACCCCACGAAAAATAAAGACAGGAAAAAGAAGAATCTAACTTTCCTTTTGGGCAGAAAGGAGACGACTTCGTTATAGTCCTTCAACACCTAATTATCGTAGCAAATTGAAGAGCTCCAAAGTGGTCTAGATCTGTTGATTTTAACGATCTATGGAAACAAGTCCCTTCATCTTCATCATCATCTGAAAACTCCAACGCAGTAAGTTCCTCTTGCAACTATACATGCCAAATCCATTACTTATTAATTAATTATTTATTTCATTTTTCTTCAAGTTTGTATGCTTAATTAATTATTTCATTTTTCTTCAAGTTTGTATGCTTAATTAATTATTCCATCGCTCAGTCTGCATTTGTTGATCATAAGTGCAAACAAGTGCCCTCATGACCGGATTGACTCCCATGAAACTGCTTCTTGCTACAGATCATGTCCAATATTCGTGCAAGTTCGAGTCTTGAAACGTAGGATTGCAAGGTAATCCCAAAACTGCCCATTTATTTGTTCAACATGTTAAAATTTAGGAAAAATAATGTATACTAATATATGATTTTTGCAATCATATATGGTATGTTTTATTGTGCTTTATTATTTAAAGAGTAATGCTAGAAAAATCACATAATTATACTATATTAGTGTACCATCTCATATGGTGAGTGATAGACACAATCAACATCCAGTGAGATAAATTCATAAACTAACGTGACATGTATGCCTCACTTGCCACATCAAATGGTACATAAATGTGACACAAAAATATGTGATCTTCTTAACATTTTCCTATGAAATAATATTATATGGTGTGCTTTATTGTGCTTTACCATGCAATATCAAGTTTTTTATGTTTTATTTTTATTGGAACATACAATATATCAAGTTATTAGATTATTTGGTAGTACTATATTAAGGACTATACCTCGCGAGACGGTTATGATGTTGGCAACCTTGATCTGAATCTGTCCCGTTGCCATCTCTAGTCCCAAATTGTCACCTCTAGAAATGCTCACTAGGAGTCCATTAATTGATTATTTCACTTTTACTATAAATTTGTATATAATTGCGCAGGCATCAATAATTAGTTCTCATCATTTTAATTTGTGCAGTTGTGACTATTTCTGAGTCTCAACGGGTCAAGCTTCCAAATTTCCAAGGAACTACGTCTTTGACTGTTGATCTTCCCTTCGTTGAGTCTGTATTTGTTGATCACAAGCAGAGTTAGATTTGAACTTCCGTGTAAGTTCTTATTATTTATTTGAATAATACATTAGTTGTTTTTCATTTTATTTGAACCACTTTTTATTCAGTTTTTGTTCACTTAATCTGTACAGTTCTGCACCTCAATATTGCTCAAGAACGTTTCGCTATTTCTTTGATTTCTTGGAGTGCCCTTCACTCTTAAAATGGCACTGGGAGAGGTTTTTCTTGCGGCGTTTCTAAAGGTGCTGCTCAACAGGTTGACCTCCCACGAGATTCTCAACTACCTTGAAAACTTCCGGGGCGTCACAAAGAAGCTGGACAAGTGGAGGGCCGTGTTAACTGCAATAGGAGGGGTGCTCAGCGACGCCGAGGAAAAACAACTCACTGAGGATGCTGTAAAACTGTGGCTCGATGATCTCAGAGATCTGGCTTATGATGTCGAAGACATGTTGGACAAATTTGCCACCCAAATGTTGAAGTGCATGATAGAGGGACGTGATCAAGCCTGCACAAGCAACAAGGTGCGGAACTCACTTTTCAAAATTAAATTCAATTGGGATATGAACTCCGAAATGAAGAAGATTACGGAGCGGTTGCAAGACATATCTGAACGGAAGGATAAGTTTGGCTTGAAAGATATTGGGACGTCTGCTAAGGAATCACGAAGTCTACCAAGTTCTGGCGTGTTAGATGAAAAGCTTCTTGTTGGAAGAGATGGTGACAAGGGGAGGATTATTGAATTGTTGTCAAGAAAATACGAGCATGCAGGTGCTGTCAATTTTGGTATAGTTGCTATAGTTGGCATGGCCGGAGTTGGGAAGACGACACTTGCTCAACTTGTATTCAACAACGAAGATGATGCCATGAAGGAGTTTGAGCTCAAGGTCTGGATATCAGTGTCCGATGACTTCGATGTGGTGCGAGTGACAAAGGCAATTCTTGAATCCATCACATCCCGACCTGTTCAAATGGAGGAGTTTAGTAAAATTCAGCATGATTTGAGTGAGCAATTAAGAGGAAAAAAGTTTTTAATCGTGTTAGATGATATCTGGAACAAAGGCGACTATGATCTACACGATCTCTGGACAAGACTTCGATCCCCTTTTGGCGTCGGAGCAGGAGGAAGCAAGATAATTGTGACAACCCGTGATGTGAATGTTGCAAAGATTATGGGAGCCACTGAAGTTCATAATTTGGAATGTATGGCAGATGATGATTGTTTGGAAATATTTGAGCGACATGCATTCCTAGAAGCTAATAGTGGAAAACCAGTAAATTATGAGTTAATTCGGACAAAAATTGTTGAAAAATGTTGTGGCTTACCACTAGCTGCGAGGACACTCGGTGGTCTTTTACGTTGCAAAGAAACAGATGAGTGGGGAGAAATATTGGACAACAAACTATGGAATCTCGCAGATAACAGTAGCCTTCTCCCCGTACTAAAGTTGAGCTATCACTATCTTCCATCACATTTGAAGAGGTGTTTTGCCTATTGCTCAATACTTCCAAATGACTATGAATTTGGGGAGAAGCAGCTCGTCCTTTTGTGGATGGCAGAGGGTTTGATTCAACAAAAACATGACGACAATAAACAAATGGAGGATTTGGGCCGCGACTACTTTCGAGAGCTATTAGCAAGGTCGCTGTTTCAAGAATCAAGCAAAAACAATTCACGATATGTAATGCATGACCTCGTTAATGATTTAGCACGATGGGCAGCAGGTGAAATATGTTTTAGATTGGAAGATAAGCAAGGTGATAACTTGCAAAGCACTTGCTTTCGAAAGGCTCGCCATTCGTCTTTCATTGCTGGTCAATTTGATGGAGTTATGAGATTTGAGGACTTTCCAAAAGCTGAACGTTTGCGAACATTCCTGCCACTTTCACTTTCAGATTCCTGGGGATGGAACAAAAATTTGTCTCGTAAGGTTACTTTTGAGTTATTACCAGAGTTGCAATACTTACGAGTGCTCTCTTTCAATGGCTACAAAATAACTGAGCTGCCAAAGTCAATCGGTGATTTGAGGTTGTTACAGTATCTTGACCTATCCTACACATTGATATCTAGTTTGCCCAAATCAATAAGCACTCTTTACTACTTGCAAACATTGATATTGGAACGTTGTTATAAATTGAAGTCATTGCCTGCGGACTTGAGCAATCTAATTAAGTTGCGCCATCTCAACAACTCAGGTGCATCTTCGTTGGAAGGAATGCCTTCCCAACTAGGTCGATTGACGAATCTACAATCACTGCCTCTTTTTGTGGCGAACGAAGGTAATGATCAGTCAGGGATAAGAGAGATAGGGCCCCTATTGCATCTCCAAGGGACATTGTGCCTCTCAAAATTGGAGAATGTGACTGATGTTGAGGATGCCAGGAGGGCCAACTTGAAATGCAAGGATAGGCTTGATTCGTTGGTCCTAAAATGGTCTTATTTAAGCGACACAGAAGAAACTGAATCCGCTGTGCTTGACATGTTACAGCCTCATACAAATCTCAAGGAGCTCACCATCAAGAGTTATACCGGAGAGGAATTTTCATCATGGGTTGGAGGTCCTTTGTTCTCTAATATGGTGATTGTGCGCTTAGAGGAATGTAACAATTGTTTATCGTTGCCACCTCTCGGACAATTGCCTCATCTCAAAGAGCTTTATATTAGAGGAATGAATGCAGTGGAAAGTGTTGGTGCTGAGTTTTATGGCGAGTGTGTCTTGGCTTTTCCGCTGTTAGAGATTCTTGAGTTTGTGGATATGCACCATTGGAAGGTGTGGCTTCCTTTCCAACTGGATCACGGAAGTGGTGTTTTCCCTTGCCTGAAAAGGCTTTCAATAATAAAATGTTCTAAGTTGGAAGGTAACCTGCCAGAGAACCTCGATTTGTTGGCCAAACTTGAAATTGTTAAATGTGAGGAATTGGTGGTTTCGATTGCCAACTACAAACAACTTTGTCAAATAAACATTGACGGTTGCAAAGTGTTGACACATACAGATGCTAAGGTTGAGTTTGAGTTATTAGAGTCCTTGTGCCTTTCAAACATTTCGGAGGTGAAGTCTCTGGAAACAGGGGAATTGTTCAGGAAGGGATTAAAGAAGGTTAGAGATTTGAAGATCAATGGATGTGAGAAGCTGACGTCATCATGGAAGAATGAGGGTAGATTATTACAGCGGTTGACTAGTCTTGGCCGTTTGGAAATTGAAGACAACTCTCGTCTAGTTGAAGAATTAGGAGAAGAAGCAGAGGATTTGCTGCAATTGCAAATATTGGAGTGCAAGCTTGAATTTCTGCGGTTAAAAAAGTGCGAAAATCTTTTGAAGCTACCAAAAGGGTTAAATCAGTTGTCGTCTCTTCAAGAGCTTCGCATATACGAATGTTCATCTCTAGTTTCTTTTCCAGATGTTGGTCTGCCACCTTCTCTTAAAGACATCGACATTAGAGAGTGCCATTCGTTGATATATTTTGCAAAATTCCATATTCCCCAAAATCTCAGAAGAATATTTATAGAAAATTGCAAAAGTTTGAAATCACTAGTAGATGAGGAGGAATGTGAACGACTGGGTTTAATAGCACCGAACGGGTTCTTCAGCGACAACACCAATCACTGCCTTGAATATATTGTTATCTGGAATTGCCAAAATCTGAAATCCTTACCGGATGGCTTATGCCACCTCAGCAATCTTCAAACTCTAATTATTAGGTGCTGTGGAAGTCTTGTTTCCATCCCGAGACTGAGTGGGGGGAGAAGACCCTCCAACCTGAGAAAGATGGAGATCTCCAAATGCGAGAAATTGGAGGCGTTGCCCGAAGACCTGCACAATCTCAACTCTCTTGAGGCATTGAGGATCGACTACTGTGAAGGTTTGACTTTTCCTCCCAACCTAACATATCTTGTAATTTGGAAGGTCAAGAGCTGTAAGTCATTGTGGGAGTTGGAATTGTGGGGGTTGCACAGACTCACCTCTCTTGAAATCGATGGTGAAGAAGACCCGGATACGGTGTCGTTTCCACCCGACATGGTACGGATGGAGACGCTCTTCCCCAAATCTCTCACTCTACTCAGAATAATTGGCTTCCCGAATCTGAAGAAACTGAGCAGCAAGGGCTTTCAATTCCTCACCTCCCTTCAATCTCTGGATCTCTGGAATTGTCCAAAGCTAGCATCCATTCCAGAGGAGGGTCTGCCTCCTTCACTTACGCAACTTTGGATCGATGGGTGTCCAGTGCTAGAAGAGAGATGCCAACCAGGAAAAGGACGCTACTGGCACAAAATATCCCACATCCCTTGCATAGGGATAGATGGCAGGCAGATATGAAGCTGATGGTCCAGGTATCATTTTCTCGAGGAATGTTTTAATATTAATATTATTATTATTATTAATAATCATGTTTATTCTTGTAAAGTAAAGTAATCCACAATATTTGGTTTGGGTCAAGGTTTTGGGGGTTGAGGAGTCGCTGCTTTGGGAGGCCTTCAATTGGCGACAACTTGGATATTTCTCGGCCAACGTTTATTCTCATGGATTCCTATATTTGCTTTTTTTCTTTTTCTTTTTTCTTTTTTTTTTTTTTTTTTGGGTAAACAATTGCTATGTTTGCTTGGTCCCTTTTGACTGATTTGTATTATAACTTTATAAATGTGCTACCTTTTCTCCTAAGTATGGAGTTTTTCCCATTCAGTTTTTTCCCAGCAAGATTTTAACCAGGCCACTTAAACCTGATCTTTTATTTTATTTTAGCAAATTTTGACTTATGAGCTAGTATTGCATTTTATTTAATGCATCGAGAATAAGCAATCAATAAAGAAATGGAAATGCAAGGGGCTCGTTGTTGAAGTTGTGTTGTCTCTAGTCTTTAAATGATGATTAGATTCTCAAAAAGTTGCGTTAGTTTCGGTATACTGACTTGACCACTTTTTGACGTGGGAATTAGTTTCCCGATGTGGAATGATGACCGCTAAATGACTTCCTTTACTACGTCTTGTCTTCCTGAAAGTAGAAAATATGTGCCAACGAATTTTGGTAAATCAAATCGTTATACCAAGCTTTCGTCACTTATTCAAAAAGTGCACTATTCATTGGTGACGATTATGCGTTTTAATTGAGTTCTAAGGAAAATAGAGGGTAGTAATACATCAGTACTAAAAAGTGAATTTGTGAAAAAACTGGTTCGATTTTATTCATGGATTAAATGTAGGATTGTGTCTCTGCAATTTTTCATTTTTTTTATTGGACTCTCAATTTTATTCCAAACGCACAAACCACGTCAGGGCTGACGCCGACTTAACGGCGATACGAATCATCTTTCCGTTCCCGTCAGCAAAATAACGTCGTTCATCCCGAAACAAAAACCGTTAAAGCCTCATATTCTTTCCCAGATTTCACAATACAATTTAGGCCCATTTCTGGCCTAACGTCTCTCTCTCTCTCTCTGCCTTCCGAGTCATTTCATTTTCCCGGAAAATAAAAAAGTTCTTTCTTCTTTGACCGAATTCATGTCGGTACGTAATCTCTTTCTTCAATCCGAATATAAATTCTTAATCTTTTGTATGGCTTTATTTGGTTTTTGTTTAAATTTAATCTTTGTGATGCTTATTTGCTGTGTTTCTGATTGGATTGAACTCTAATTCATTTAGATTTATTCGTTAATTTGTATTGACTTGATTGTAATTCTCTCAGATGCATTGGTTTTATATTAATTTCTTAGCAAAATTCATGTTTTTAGTTTTAATTTTTATGTTTTTATCATTCTTAAAGTAAATGCATATACATGATGCAAAATTTGGATTCGTCAAAGGAGCAGATTATAGTTTTTCGGTTTGATTTATAGTTTTGTTTAATTAGGAATATAGTGAAAATGAAAATGAACAGAAAACGGTTAGTGAGAAAATGACAAGTTTTCTTTGTGTTTATTACAAAATTAGCAAGTTGAAATTTTTGAGAGTATATTGCTTCTTGGAGCAGGTATTGTTTCAAGAGTGTGAATCCCATGTCGAGAATTGAAGTGTTACGTAAATAGTTTGAATGATCTCGGGCATCTCCACCCGTTGCCAATTGGTTTCAGGTTGGATGCTCGAATTGTAATAGAATAAAAGGTATTGTTGTTTTTTTATTATCATTCGTTGTTTGAGTGGCGAAGATACAAATTGCTTCCTGATGGTGTTTATGACTTTCTGTATTTACTTTTAATGCTTAGTATATTAATGGCATCGCGTACTTCCTAAGATTTCATGGTCATGTGTTTGTATGGTTCTGTATGTATGTGTACGATCTTCATCCCGACTTTGAATGCATAAACTAGCTGGATGGAGAGGTGTTGTTGTTATTGCCTTGCCCAAAACAAGGATTTCATTGAGGGCTAAATAGATTTCTTTTAACTGGGTTATTATGTGGTCAGGGAAGGTTAGAGTTCTTATGTGGTCGGCCAAGTGCTTTGTGAAAAATGGATTTATGTTGTCTAAATAGTTGTGTTTCAATTGCCTTTTCTGAGCTTCTTCCTTCCTATCTGGTATCTATTTTCTATCATTTTTCATAGGATGTTAGCTCCATGGTGACATGGTGTGCTGGTTGCTTTATGTTTGTATATTCTCTTGTTTTTTCATTACAATGTTGAACTCAGTGAAATGCTAGTACTTGTACTTCGAGCCTTGACTAGAAAAAAAACGTCGCGTGTACTTGGGATTTTCTCCGGGATGCCTTGTAATATTCTAACATTGCTGGATGAACATTTTTCCTTCAGTTTGTCTGCTAACTTACAGTCCAAGAAGAAGTTGCTTATCACAACATGTTGCCAATGTTCATGGATATATACAATTATTTCAATGAGTTTCTTTGAAATTGTTTGTGATATTTTCGTGCCAAATAGGACGAGAAGAAAATTTCATATCTCAATTTTTTAGCTCATAAGATTTATATTAAATTATTTTTTCGCCTTTTATTAAAGAATACGTTGAAAAAAAAAAACTTAAGTGTTCGGGATCTTTTAATACCAATTTCAATACAACTATTAATTTAAGTAACATAACTTTTAGTTTAGGTACCAATAAAAAAATCAACTAAAATACTACTATAATTCAAAATAAGTATATGATTGCCACGTTTTCCGACCACCCAACTGTATTAGCAACCACGTCACCCTTATAATCAATCTTAATAACCAGGTTTCGACGAACCTCCTTGTACTGCATTGTGTTCGCATACATGAGCCCGGGGACGAGCGTTACTATTTGCATTATGATAAATAACCATGATTTTGATGAGTACTGTAGGCTAGAATTTCCAATCATTCCCAAGGGAGAATGGTTCAATATGACCTATAGACTACATGAACTCAAATTCCCTTTTTGTTATCTTCTATAAACCATCCGCTAGAGTTCTTGGCATGTAGTGACCATATTTGGAGAATGACTAGACACATGTTGGGATGCCATTATGACATCATGGGTGAACAATACAATTTTCGCGTTTAAGTTTCTCTCCACATACATCGCATTAACTTTGTTTTTTTACTTTCTTAACATGTTTGGGTGCATTTTCAGTTTTTGGATAGTAATTTCACTTCATGAAAATCTTGCTTAATGTTGTTTGACTTGTTTCCTTTCTTAAACATCTAGATGTTCGTTAATTATATGCTAATAATAATTGCTCTTCATCTTCAAATGGATCATAAATTAATATAGCTCTGTGACTAATTAAGTAGTATAACTCCAAAATGGTAAAGCATAATCCATGATAACTTTGGTAAATCTGGTGTCAGCAGGATCATGTTCTTCTTGGTGTTGTGTGGCTTAGGTTGTTTAAGTGTCTTTTACTGTTTTAAATTGATTCTCTATATTATCTACAATGGCCTACAAAAAACTGAACCAAACACCGTCACAAAATAATATCATTGGTGTTGAAAGGGAATGTAGCTTAGTTGTTTACCAGCAGTCACCTTTCCACCCGAAGTTTCATATTTGATTCCCCCAAAATCGTTCGTATAACTGTGTAGGACATTGGCGATAAGAAAACGATAAAAAAGAGAACAATATTACCCTGCGAAAATTAAGGATAGAGAAAAAAAGAGGATTCTAACTTTCTTTATGGGCAGAAAGATGAAGGCTTGTTATATTCAACACGTAATCGTCATAGCAATTGAAGAGTTTTGAAGTAGTTGTCGTTGAAAGAGGAAGACTTGTTAAAGTCTTTCAAGTCAACACCTAATTCTCATAGCAAATTGATCCGTAAAGTAGTCAACAAAAACTCAAATTCCATTTAAACAACCTGTTTTATTAAAGGGGTGTGATATCCATACATCTATTTTTACTTTTCACACACCTCTTGTTAACTTCTGTCATTGATCTACTTCATTTCATGTAATCTGACGGTTGAAAATTAAAAAAAATGTGTGAGAAGTAAAAAGATATGTGTAGATATCACACCCCTTTATTAAATCCTAAATTGTATAACTCCTTCAAATATATCAATGGCGAATATCATATTTTCTGTAAATCATCCAGTAGAGCTCTCAGCAAGCAATGACCATATTTAGGGAATGACTAGACACATATAAGGGTCTCATCAAAACACCATGGGTTAACAATACAATTTATATTTAAGTTTCTCTCCACTTACATTGTGTTAACTTAGTTTTTGTACTTTTCTAGCATTTTCAAGTTCGTGCATTTTCAGCTTTTGGGTAGTGAAAAAGTCAATTTGCTGGGAAACTTATTAGTAAAAAGCAAATTCACACGGCTGGTGTCACATCCCGGCCCGGGTGGAACCATTTCCCGGGTCCGCTCCACCACCATAGCACGATATTGTCCGCTTTGGGCCCCAACCACGCCCTCACGGTTTTGTTTCTGGGAACTCACACGAGAACTTCCCGATGGGTCACCTATCCTGGGAGTGCTCTCGTGCGCTACTCGCTTAACTTTGAAGTTCCCATGGAACCCGAAGCCAGTGAGTTCCCAAAAGGCCTCGTGCTAGGGAGGGACGGGAATATACATTTAAGGATCACTCCCCTGGGCGATGGGGGATGTCACAATCCAACCCCCTTAAGGGCCCGACGTCCTCGTTGGCACACACGCGACCAGGGTTAGGCTCTGATACCAAATTGTCACATCCCGGCCTGGGTGGAACCACTTCCCGGGCCCGCTCCACCACCGTAGCACGATATTGTCCGCTTTGGGCCCCGACCACGCCCTCACGGTTTTGTTTCTGGGAACTCACACGAGAACTTCCCGATGGGTCACCCATCCTGGGAGTGCTCTCGTGCACTACTCGCTTAACTTCGGAGTTCCCATGGAACCCGAAGCCAGTGAACTCCCAAAAGGCCTCGTGCTAGGTAGGGACGGGAATATACATTTAAGGATCACTCCTCTGGGCGATGTGGGATGTCACAGCGGGACATAAATCTAAAATTACTTGCTGGGAATGTTTTAATATTAATATTAATATTGTTATTAATCATGTTTATTCTTGTAAAGTAAAGTAATCCACAATATTTGGTTTGGGTCAAGGTTTGGGGGTTGAGGAGTGGCTGTTTGGTAGGAGAAATTTTTCAAGATATCGGGAACTCCAGCTCACCTCTGCCAGTTGGTGTTCCGAACCAATGGTTATTAGACAACTAGATTTCTTTAATTTTTATTTATTTAATTCATTCTCTTAAATGCTGAAACTTCACTCCCAAAAAGTAAAAATAAACGGAGTTTACGCGTCCGTCAATAACCTTTGCGTTCCGTTTTGTTCTCAGTAATCTTTATTTTTTTATGAAATATCTTCTTGTCGCTGAAAAAAAGAGAAGGGGAAAAGCTGATTTGCTATCATGTATGTTGCTTGGGACATTCGATGGTCTCTCCTTCGTGGTACGGATCTACTCAAATCTCAGTCCCTCTTCTTTTCTGGAAAGCTCTGCAGGAAATTTAGGATTATTTCCGGTGATGGCTTCCTGCCCAACTCTGGTTGTTTCTCCTCCTCCATCTTGTCTGTATTGTAGGTTTCTTTTGGAGTTGGAAGGCTTTGTGGCTTAGTTTGTTGGCTTTTATTTTTTGGGTTTTACACCAAAACAAAAAAATAAA